AGCTTCTCCATCTCTTATACACGTCCTTCATAGCTTTGGCAACCTCTGTTTTCACCATCCTCTTCACCAAATAAGGTAAAAGTAGCTCCTCCTTCTTCTGTGAAGCTGCTGGAACAACTTGTTGCGGCTCTTCCCTATGTGAAGCTGCTGGAATATGTCCCTCTCCACATCCTCGATAATACACATCAACCTTATGAAGATCCTCCCAACAAATCTTCTTCTGTTGTACGTCGAGACGCCACGCATCTGTAATAGGGTCCAATGAATCCTCGGGTTCAGCTCGTTCCATAATCTCCAGCAAAAGACCTTCCTCAACCGCTGATGGTTGGAGGATACTAATTATGTCCTGCAAAGAACAAGAAAACAGAGGTTAACACATTCATACATAAAAATACATAAACACATTCATACACATTCTTTACCTTAGTTGTTCCAAGCGCTTGGTTGACTTCTTCAAGTGGAAAACCTGTCATTCCATTGTCTTTAAATTTCTTCTTGCACATCCGTGGACATCCATCATTTGCGCCTATTACACCTTCTTGAAATTGTTTGGACAGCTTAGGAATGCATTCAAACGCCAAAACCTATATACATTTACACAATCATATATCTTAAAGAATCCAAAACAGATTTACTTATTATAGAAAAGCACAGAATTTTACCTCAAGAGGAACTATGAACCCGGCAAACAAATGGTCAGCTTTCACTTTGCCATTTAACCGCTTCTTCATTAAGCGATCAATCTTAGACATAGTGTCTTCAAAAGTAAGCCGCCCCCAAGGAAACTTTTTAACCTCTTCCAAATCATTCACTATCTTCAAAATAAATGGAGGTATGCTATTATACCTTCTCCCTCCTCTTATTATCGTGCATAAGAAGAATAAGACCGCCACCTGCAATCGATCTCCATCACACACACCTTCCATTGACTCTAGCATATTTTCCACATCGCTCACTGTTACACTTCTTGTTCCAAAGACCCTCTCCACAAAGGCATAACTACCAAAATTGTTTGCATTATGATCTGATGCATAGTCATGACAGTCAAATCCAGTGATCAAAGCATGTTCCCTCATCGAGTAGCGTATTGGAACGCCATTCACCACAAACCAGCTTTCCCTCTTCTTCTGTGTTGAAGCAGTCCGCATAAGAAGCATTAACATACCTTGCAGCTTATTTTTCCCTTTCCTAACCAAGTGAAAGACGTGCTTGAACTGCTTCTCATCTCTAAACCACTTCATTTCTTTGTCACTCAGCTTCACACTAATGGCATCCAGCGTGTTACCAATGGTACACCTTGTTGATATCTTCAAAGTCTTATCATACTCCTCAGGACTAAAGAAAAAACTCTCAGGCTGAAGAGGTAAAGCCTCATCCTCATCCATCTCCTCTATTTCCTGCAATACAAACACAGATAATTTCAGTTCCACAACATAGTTGTACTCAATTGTACTAAATACAATCAAACATGTTTATTACTTACCTCATGGTCAGACACGACATTCTCCGGAGATGGTTCGACTCCTTGATCTTCCATGACATCATCCACTGCAGCTCCTATCTCTGAATGCTTTGGATTCGATTGCTTTTGTCTTTTGGGACTTCTAAGCTCGGTAGATTTTTCACTTCTAGAACAAGATGGTTCACTTCTAAAACTAGAAGCTCCTCTTCTGGTAATAGGCATTGTAAACCAACCTGCAACAACAATCTAATTAGATATCTACATAATTATAAGTAATCCGAAATATATTCAAATCCAATAAACACAATTTGAATCAAATCAAATCCGAAAATATAGAGAAATCATACAACTAGTCACAATGGTTATTAACAGAGGCAATTTCAAATCCAAATTGTATTTCAAATCCATCCCCAAATTGTAAACATAAAATCTGAATTATATCCATAAAAAACCGAATTCAATACAAAACATATCCATAATTCATCTGTTTTAAACAAAATCAAACTTTTATTAAGCCCAAAACCTTTATCAATCGAACCCTATTAAACTCTCAAAGAGAAATCAAACCCTAATCAAACCAAAATTAACAAATCAATCGAAATATACAGATCAAACAAAAGAAATCTTACAAAGAGCACACACAGCGGAGAAGACACGGCGGATTCCTCAGATTCACGGTGGATTTCTCGGATTCAAGGAGTATCCAGAGAAACGAGTGAAGACGAAAGAAGAAGAAGATGAAAGAGTATCGAGTGAAACAAGATAAGAGAGAAGAAGAAGAGGATCTAGAAGAAGAAAACGAAATCGGAAAAGCTTTCGTCTGTGGTTGAGAGAAAAGGAAGACGAAGGAGAGTTTTCCCAGCTGATGATTTGTTAGCTGATTCTTACTCTTGGTGCGTGGGAAATGTCGTGTGTAATGGCTTCTCCGCTACAACTACTTGGGAAGCTTTGAGGCCAAGAGATTCTGTAAAGGAGTGGTCTAGCTCGGTCTGGTTCAAAGGAGCTGTGCCAAAACATGCTTTCACCATGTGGGTGTGCCCTCTAAATAGACTGCCAACGCGTCAGAGGTTAGCTGTTTGGGGACAGATTCAATCCTCGGAATGCTGCCTTTGCACTATTGAAACTGAAGCCAGGGATCATCTTTTCCTCGCTTGTGAGTTCTCTTCCCAGATTTGGAAAATGGTCTTCAATCGCTTATGCCCACGGCAAAGACTTTTCTGCTCATGGGCTGAGCTCCTCTCTTGGACACGGCTGTCTTCTTCCACCGCGCCTTCTTTGCTCAGAAAGGTAGTGGCTCAGGTTTTGGTCTACAACATTTGGCGACAACGGAACAATGTGCTCCACAACTCTCAGCGGCTTGCTCCGCAGCTTATCGTCAAGATGCTCGACCGGGAGCTGCGCAATATCATCACTTCAAGACGGCGAAAGAAGCGTTGGCGCAGCTTACTGCTCCTTTGGATTAGATAGTTGGTCTTTCTTTCCCTTACATTATTGTAGCTTTGTTTTATTTTTTTTGCCTTGGCTGCTCTTATTTAGGTATTACCTTTGTAAAACCTTTATTTCATTTATATGATATTTACATGATTAGCAAAAAAAAAAAAGTAAGTAAAGTCACAAATACAGACTTAGAAGGTTTTTTTTTTGCAACCTAGATTCATATAATTAGACTAGATATGGACCCGTGCGTTGCACGGGTTACCGGTCGAGATTATCATTTTTAATACTTTTATTTTATTTTTGTAAGCTTAACTAAAATTCTATAAACATATATATTTTTGAAAATACAGCGTAATTATTTCTAAATATAGATTTTTTTAGTATAATGCGCAATATAAAACATTATTTATAGTTATGTTATACTAATTATTAAATCATCTAATATAAATATTGGCCTGTTTATAAAATTATATAATTTTTTGCTTATTATAAGTTATGAAGTCATAAATGTTCATATGTTGTATTATTGAATTTTAATAAGTAATTTACATCCATCGGAAGAGTGTGTAACATCTTATAATTTTAATGTGGGCAAGATGAAAACAAAACTATGACAATAAGAAAAGATAAAATTCTATAGTTACGTAAACATATGAACGATATATGTATAATATGTAAATATATAGTCTGAATAACGTAAATATAGATGTTTTTTTAGAAAAGTTTGACGTCCTAATAAAATTTTGACAATAAAAGAAGATAAAATATGAGACAGTCTATATTCATGTCATGTAACTTTACTTGATAATATGAAATACTTTCAATAGAAATAAACAATCTTATAAGAAATTAGAGAATATACACTAAATAACTTAAGACTAAAAAAAAATTAAGAAAAAAAATCAAACTAAACATTATCTATTTGCTACATGACTTTTGTCAATTTAGGCCCATATTACCAATTTCTTCGTTTTTTCTTCTTTCTAATTTTCAAATCTCTATGTATCTCTAGTTAGATTTCTCTTATTTTTGCTCGAACTCCTCTATCTTTCTCCTTCTTTTCCTCTCGTCGGATTTCGTCACCACCATATCTTTATTTATTTTCTTTCATATCTTCATTTCTCGCATTCGTCGGGCATCACTACCGAGTCTCACTACTTAACCCACCACCACAACCGAATCTCACTACTATCACAATCACCACCATCATCAATACCGAATCTCGCTAATTCCGACTCACCACCTTTATCAATATTTACCGACGCCACCACCACCAAGTTTGAACCACCATCATCAACACCAACACCACTGATACCGCCTCTTATCCACTTTTCCCAACTTCTCTTATTACTTCACCTTCTTTATCTCCTCCGACATTAGACCAAGCCTCTCCGACAATAACTCTAGTCTATGTCTATCGCCATTCATAATTATTAATTTGCCTCAATTGCCATATATTCATTAGATCTAAATATCACATGCTATTTTAAAAAAAAACATTGTGATTCGAAGTATTTTTTTATAATTGATATTATATAATATCGTTAAGAAATTAGTTTGATTGATGAGAAAATATGAGCTAATCTATTTGTTTATATAAAAGTGATTATTTACTATCTTTTTCTTATAGGATTAATAACTGATTGTATAATTTTCTTTATTTTTTTTTCTAATTTTAAATATTTTCTTGTACAGTTAGTAACTTATAAATAACACGTTTAGCATAATTTTATAATTTCGATTTTTATGGAAATATACATATAAATTCCTTATATATATGTATAGTTTTCTTATTATGATCTTTTCATATTTTTAAAACTGTTTAAATTTAAATTTTTTTATAATTATCTTTTAAAAACAAAATTTTTGTTTGCTAGATGGCAAAAACTCTTATGGAAATATATGTACAATTTCCTTATAATTAGCTTTTTACATTTTAAAACTGTTTAAATTTATAATTTTTTTAATTATCTTTTTTTTTAAAGGAAAATTTTATTTGACACATGTTAAAATCTCAGATCAAAAAATTGACACATGTCACGATCTCGTGAGTTACTAACTTTGAAAACCATAATTTATATAATAAGATATGAAATATTAATTTGTACAAAATATCTAAATAAATATCAAATTAATTAAGATTAAAAATACATAAAACATAAAACATAAAATTGAAACATAAAATTACAAAACTACAAAATTAAAACCAAACAAACATAAAAACTAAATTTAATAAGATAATTAAACATTTATGGTCTGAATATACTAATTCTGAAAATTTGTACAAATGTAATTAATTTTCTAATATTTTTAATTTATGGATTGTAATCTTATAATAAGTAAGTTATAGGGATAATAGTATTTATCAAAAATATTAAAAATAAATTCTTCAATTTAATAATATAGTAATATATAATACTTTTTGTAGTATAAAATTTTGTGTTGTGGTTGGAGATAAATAAAAAAATAAGACATCATAATATATACCAAATTTAGTATGATTTCAACTCCAAATTTAGTTTTGTAGTTAGGAGTTACTCTAAAGACTGATCACTAATAAGTCTCAGTCACATAAAGTCATAAAGTGACACAATGACACTATTCCACATGTCTGATGTATCACTCGACCTTGCGTTTGTTACGAAACTGACTTTTTTATTTTTTCAACTTCGTTCGATTATTTTTTTCTCACTATTTCATGGAAAATTCAGCTATAATCGTGACAAACAAAGTAGAAGAAGTTAATTAAACTTTCCACTAATTAAAACACACAATAATACGTAACTGTTGAACAAAAAAATAACTATAGACTTGATTGGTTCTCTCGCTAGCATTCGCCTAGCGGTTGTTAGTACTCGGTTGCGGTTATTAACGGTTGGTACCAATCATAGAAATCGTTTCATACCGTTTGAACCGCTCAAAATCGCTGGATTTTAAAAACTCTTTCTGCAAGCGTTTGCGGTTGCGCACGGTTGCGGTTGGTTTTAAAAAAAAATAAACAAAGAAAATGAATAAATTAAAATATATCTTATCAAGTCATATATATTCACGTTAATTCTAAAAATATAATAATTATCTAACTTTAATTTTCCAATATTACTAATTATTTTTGTTTTCAATATAAAATTTATTTAAATAATTAAAATAATTATTTATGATTTTTAGTCATTAATCATGTTTAAAAATTTTATACTTTTTCATAACTATAGTTTTTGGTGTTTTTATACTTTTTATAATCATATATTAAATTTACTTTGGTAAATTTTGGTTTAACCGCTATCGTACACGCTGATCAACCAGTCGTAAATTTTTCGCAAATGCACCCATTTTCAACCGCTAAACCAATCGGTCAAAACGCTAAATAACGCTTAAAATCGCAACCGTCCGCTTCTGCAAATTCTAACAACCGCAACCGCAACCACAGCCGCTGCGTTTAAACTCCTCAAACGTACAGTTACTGTTAACGGTCAAACATGACGGACTTCTGAAGTCACCAACTCTTCAGCTCCGTCCAATCAAATGAAATAGCCACACCGTAAACCTTACCGTATCTGAACACAGCTCAGAGTCGCAGACAAATAGAAAAACAATCAGAAAAACAAAAATAAAAAATTAGGAAACAAAGCAGATTTGCTTCTTCTCGATTCTTTGCAATTTGCATGCATTGCTCATCAAAAATTCCTTTCTGGGTTTTGTTGGAAATTAGCTGTATTACTTGAAATGTTGAAACTTTACTTTATTTCTTCTTCTTTTTTTGGTCAAATTTTGTGTTCTCTCTAGATCAAAACCCTAATTCTCAATTCTACTCAAAGTTCCTATTTTTATAGTTCTTTGAGGAAGAGAAAGATTGGTGTTTACTAAGGTGAGAGATTCTGTTCTTATGGAGATCTTTCGCATTGTAGGATGGTTTAGGAATTGAAAATCATCTTGGGGTTAGTGTCTTCAATGGATCTTGATATTTTGATTTTGGGTATGTGAGAATCTTTAAAGGTCTAATTTTTACTTATTTAGGTTGACCTGTGGATAAATTTGAATTCTATAGCTGATTATATATATAAAGATTGCATCTTTGATCTTGGTTTAGTTTATATAATCATTTGAGTCCATGATTTGGTCAGCTTCACAATTAGTTAAAGAGTTTTTGCTTTACTTAATGCAGTTGTACAATGAAAATTGCAACTTGTGTGGTTCTACTGTATGAGACTTATCTTATCTAAAGACTGTTTCTTTTCGATTTGTTTGTTTTACAAGGTTGAGGAAATGATAATAGCAAAGCAATACCGTTGCATTCACTCGGCGACTTGTCATTGCACGAAAGGACATCTTAGCGAAGAAGTATTGTTTCTTATGGTTCAGCATCTAAACTGGAACCCTAATGTGATTGCGACTCTATCTTGTGTTTGTAAATGGTTTGATGATCTCGCTAAGCGGTTATTGTGGAAAGAATTCTGCAGAGCTAGAGCACCTAAGATGATGAGTGACCTTCAATCTAGTGGTAGCCATAGTGTTGATGGGAGTTGGAGAGCACTTGGGAAACTTTTGATTTACTGCTCTGGTTCAAGCAAAGGTGGACTCTTTAATGATGTTCAAATCTCTGGTCATTTTGTTCACAGAACCCGATTCTCTAGAACATCAGGAAGGAGCTTTCTTCCTCCACAATGTCGAACTGATGATATTCTCTATGTTTCTGATCCTTGTGAACATCTGGATCAAGGAGAAGATGGTGATTTGGGATTCTTCCGTGGGATTTTTAAATCGTTTTCAATGTCAAAGGTGAGGAAGTTGCTTATCAAGAAAGGGACACCATTTCATCCCACGGAAGTTTGTCCGTATTGCAAAGCAAAGCTGTGGAGTATGCTTCAGGCGAAAATGATACCACAGAGTGCTAGCTGTAGATTGGGGGCTTATGAAGATAGCATTGAGTATTATGTTTGCCTCAATGGGCATATGCTAGGAGTTTGTACACTCTTACCCTTGTCTGATTCTGAAGGGGCTACCGAGTTTCAGTGACTATAAATTCCCGACCTTGCGTTTTCCTTTGCAGAAAATGCTTGAAGCTTGGTTATAAGTTATGATGTCGTCTCTCTGTTTCTAATGTACCAGTGAATTGTTGTTGCTAGACTTTGGGAATCATCACTTTGCAAAGAGTTGATGTGAAGTGTATCATAAGCTGAAGTTGTGCAAGGTTCAACGATTTCAGATTCTCAATCTACCATTGGTTTGCATCGACAAACCATTTGTTGATTCTGTGCATGTATATGTATGAACAACACTTGCAAATTGTAATAGACGCATTTATTTCTGCTACATTTATAATCATTTGACCCCAAAAAAACTAGGAATCTCTTCTAAGTCTCTCATCTTTTGTCAACTTGAATTACTTCTGATCTCAATTGTGCTATGACCTGGTTTCTTCCTCAATCCAACATTCTCCATCATGTTTCTCACTTTCTCCATATCTTTCCATCGTCCTAAAGCCGCATAGATATTTGCCAACAACACGTAATTGCCCGTGTTCTCTGGTTCCAGCTCGAACAACTTGTTTGCTGCCATTTCTCCAAGCTGGACATTCTCGTGTGTGACACAAGCAGCAAGCAATGCACCCCAAATGGTTGAGGTTGGTTCAAATGGAATTGTTGTAATGAGATTGTAAGCTTCGTCTAACCGACCTGCTCGACCAAGGAGATCAACAATGCAAGTGTAATGGTTTGATCGGGCTAACGTTTTGTAATGTTCAAGCATGAAGCTGAATAATGTCAAGCCTTCTTCAACCAAACCCGAATGACTGCAAGCATTTAAGGCAGAAGTGAATGTGATTTCGTTTGGCGTCACACCAGATCGAACCATTTCCATGAAAACTTGCAACGCATTATGACCATCTCCGTGCATCCCGTAGCCAGAAATTAAAGCACCCCATAGAACTACATCTTTGCTCTTGTGTTTTTCCTGGATTCCATTGAATATCTTGTGAGCGGATTCTAAAGTTCCACACTTTGAGTAAACATGAACCAGCCCTGTAGCAGCATCGAGGCTTGACATAAACCCGGTTTTGGTTAGGTAGCAATGGATATTCATTGTTTGGCGCAAATCTGCCAAAGTTGCATATGCTGGAAGTAGACTGTTTAATGTAGCAATGTTGGGTTCTACATCTTCCCGTCGCATCCGTTTGAACAGATCCAACGCGTCCCTCACAAGTTCATTCTGTACACAACCAGCGATAATTGCACTCCAAGGACCGGTATGGTTTCTTGAAGCCCCCGAAAAAACTCTAAAGCAGAGGTCTATGTGCTTGCATTTAGCATACATGCTGATCAAAGACGTTTCGATGATGATGTCGGAACAAACCTTTTGCCTTATCGCCCAACCATGTAAACATTTACCATCATTCAGCTTCAAAGCATCACCACATGCTGAAACAAGAGACGCTATAGTCACAGCATTAGGTCTTACGCCTTCAAACTGCATCAATCTACACAACTCTAAAGCGTTTTCCACATCCCCATCTTCTATATATCCGTTAATCATACACGTCCATGTGATCACATCCCTGCGTTCCATCCTGCCAAAGACAAATCTCGCCTCATCCATACGACCACATTTCAAGTACATATTCACCAACGCATTCTTCACCTCAATTTTATCCCCTAACCGCTTCTCTTCCACTAATTTATGAACATTTCTTCCCATTTCCAAACCCTTCAAGTGACCACAAACAGGCAACATGGACACAATCGTAGCATGGTCAGGATCAACACCTTCATTAACCATCCAATCAAACATCATCAACGCATCATTCATATATCCATTCCTATAATACCCACTAATCATTGTATTCCACGAAATCACATCTCGGTTCTTCATCACATCAAACACATTCCTCGCCATTTCAACCCTCCCAAAGTTCATATACATAGCTAACAACGCGTTCTGCACATACTTATCCATACCAAACCAACTTCTCAAGATCCTCCCATGAATAACCAACCCCAAACTAATCGATTTCAATTCTCCAGCAGCCTTGGCAACAAAAGGGTATGTATAACCATCCGGAACACACTTAATTCCCTCACTAACCATCCTAATAAACACGTTAATCGCATCGTGATACAATCCGTCACGCACATACATTCTGATAACAATGTTATATGAAAGCAAAGAGCTTTGAGGCATTTCGTCGAACAGCTTCCGTGCATAAGCGATGTGGCCACATAAAGCATAAGTTACGGAGAGAGTCGAGAGAATGTGGCCGGAAACTCGACCGCCGGTGATGACGTGGCAGTGTAAAGCTTTGGTTTTGGAAATTGATTGAGTAGCTGCATAGTGATTCAAGAGAGATTGGTATTGTTTGACGCTAAGTGCGTTTTTGGCTCTGCGCAAAAAAACCTCACTCATTTGAAAAAACGACTGTTGAAAAAATCTATTGGGTTGCAATTTCTAAAGCCAACGAGCGATAGCTGACCAAAATGCGTGGCGTTTTGTATTTCCCTATGAGAACTGCGTGACGTTTTTCTTCTTTTTTTAAAAGGTTTTTATTTTCTTAAATCCTCTGTTTCGGACAAAACCCATTTCCCTTTTGAAGCTACGGATTTGCTTCTTCATATGGTCTTATGAGATGCAAATTCATACTATTCAGATAAGATCACTATCAAGATCCAAGAGATGATACAAAAGATACATAGTACTGATCTATGAACAACAATCACCTCACTTTTCCACACATTCTCAAGAGTTTTTTTTTTTTTTTTCTAAGTTCAAATCCGAGTAGTACTCGCCTGAAGAATGCAACTGGATCATCATCATCTCGCTATTCTGTTGGCGATAGGTCTATTGTTTATATATCCACTTGAGGGATTCTACCACCAGCTTGGACAATCTGTTGCTCAAGCTGCAACCAAACAATGCAAGAATTATTCATGAATTCGAAAGCAAATTAAAACCGACACAATAGCAGCTGTTGACTAACATTAAACAAATCTTGAAGCTTTGCTTTTAAAGTCTTGTACTCAATATCCACTTGCTGCAAACATCTCACACACCTATAACAGAGATTGTTTCCCAAATTAAAAGTTTCAACAATCAAATGAACATAGCAGAAATTTGAGATTCTCCTATATAGAAGATCCGGAAGAAAAAAGAGCTTACCCTTCATAGTTCTGAGAGTCGCAACACTCCTTGAGGGTAATACAAAGACCTTTGACTCTCTTGGCACCAACACTTCATTAAACAACAAGAAAGGAGCTCTTCACTGAGACTAGCTAGATCCGAGATTAGACAAAAGACTGAGACTATAGGGATCAACGCGACATACCTTGAGCTACTACCTTTGAGTTGATGAACACTAGAACCTACTAGCTTGAAATCTACATTTCCTGTCTGATCTCTGAATTTATATGTAAACAATTATTAATCATATATGCTTCTTGAATCTTGATAATAACTAGTGAATGAAAAGTAAAGAAAAACTTACAAAGCTCTAGCCATATTACTGATAAGCTTCTCACAATCTTCAAAGAAGAGAGTAACAACCTCAGCCACAAAATCAGGACTACATTCATCTTGCAGCTTTTTCAATTCAGTGAATTGATCATCCAAAAACCCCTTCACAATACCAAAAATAAAGAATCTCAGAAACCCATGTCAGAAACACTAAACCCAATTCTTAAAATCCCCAATTTCCAATACATAAGCTTCAATAAGAACCCCTAAAACAGTAGAGACTAGAGATTTATCCCTAAAAAGGAGACCATAACCCATTTCACAAACACTAAACCCAATTCTTAAAGTCTCCAATTTCCAATACATAAGCTTCAATAAGAACCCTAAGACAGTAGAGAGTAGACATCCCTAAAAAGGAGACAACTTTGAAAAAAAGAGACAATAACCCATTTCACAAACACTAAACCAAATCCCTAATTGCCATAGCTTCAATAAGAACCCTAAAAACTGTAGTGAGCCATCTCTAAAAAGGAGACAACTTTCGAAAAGAAGAGACTAAACCCATTTCACAAACACTAAACCCAATTTCCAATAAGAACCCTAAAAAGGAGACACCTTTGAAGCTCAACCACAATTTCTAAGTTCTCTTCACCAGAAAAATACTCACTTCTATCATAAATCTCTAAGGGCAGATGCTAGAATTTACCTGGTGATAGAGAGAAATGGTGTAATCACGAAATTGTCTCTGTAACTGAGCAATGAGTGTGTCCATGGCTCTCTCTACTCGTGAAGGCAAAAGCAGAGAGAAGAAGAAGATGTAAAGTTTGATTTTTTTTCTTCTAAAACTTTGAAATTGCAATCCCAATAAAGAGAGATTCTTACAGATCATCAAATTTGGACAGAAATAAATAAAGAAATACTCACAAAACTCTTTTTCCATAAAGGGCAGAGAGAATTAGAATATGATTAGTTGTCAAAAAGACAACCTTTAGAAGTGAGAAACATTGATTTAGGTCATGAAAAATGGAATCTCTCATTCATGATTGATTCATTCATTCTCTGCGTTTAAACGTTTCTTTTACATTTTCAAAGTTAGGTATGTTTCTGTAATGTCAATCCACCGACACTAAAAGAATCTCACGCGCTGGAAGATTCTCTATAGACAAGTTCCTATGAGCTTATCTTTCATTTGAAGCATTACCGTGTGGACAAGACTCAAGAACATTGGTTTGATTCTTTTGACAGAGCTTCATAGAATCATATACTCTCTCATCAACTTGACCTCTGAAAAGTGAAAACAATCACATATTTTCAAAAGCTACGAAAGAATGTGTTAAAAGCATACTTATAGTGGCAGATTTTGCTGTTTATGACAAACTTATGTTTTTTTGCACTAAAATTAAGTTGTTTGGTAATTAACATACTTGGTATATAGTAGAGGCATTAGAGTTATTTCTTACTACTAGAGTAGTACTTTTCTTTTATTTTTGTTATAACAGATTTTGATATTAGATTTATTTTTCCGGCTGCTTTATTTTTATAGATCTGTTTTGGTATGAGTGAAATGTTTTATTTTTCAATTTGTTAGAAACAACTAATGTATATGATTGCGAGTTTTGTTCTTAGATTTGCGGAGGTCAAAGGAGGCGAGTCTGGGCTTTATTCGGTAACCGATCCAAGGTAGACATTGAAAGCAATAAATTTTGCCCCATGCATCCGTGGTCTAGTGGCAGAGGAAGCTTTGGAAAAGGGTGAAACTCTCAAACCTGAGTTCGATTCTCCCTGGAAACAAAAACACATTTGTTTGGAAAGTCTGTCAGTTGGACCTTGGCCCAATTGGTTAACCTGGTAGCCAGAAATGCAGGCGGCCTGACTACCCCTTGGCACTTAGTCGGAAGGCATTCCAAACTCGGGATAGGCAGAGTGGTAGCCCGTAAGGGCCTAACCGTTAACACGGTGGACCAGTCCACTATGTAGCACCTCGATACGTTCCTACCGGGGCCGACCGGATAGCCGATAGGGTTTATCAAAAAAAAAAAAAAGCAATAACTTTTGTTTTGGGGCATTGAGATTTAAACTAGGGAACTTTGGAGTGACGAATGCTTACATGACTTGCTAAGCTCAAGCAATATGAGGCGACATGCATTACATACCTCTTGCGGTCCTGCCACTCATTTGAAGGTACATATGACTAGGGCCGCCAAGCGAAATGAAAAAATGGTCTTTGGGCCAACAATTTTTTATGGCTCATTTAGAAGAAATTGGCATAAATAAATAGTAAAACTAAGGGTGAAACCTCCTTTGACCAATTGGTTGGACAAATGTTAATTAAAGTTTTTACACCAAGATGTCTGGGGTTCGAGTCCAAGATACTACGATTTATTAATAAATTTGCAGATTAATGGAGGCAAGTGTGCAGAAGATCTCCAGGAATGTACAATTACAGTCATTCGCCAGGATTCTACGCAGGGAGAGAAGTGTCGTCAGGTCGTGGATCATTGAAGGTGTCTCTCAAGCGCATGAAGAAGGAAGTGTCATTTGTTGTGGATCTAATTAATAAGGGTCGGAAGGAACTGTCTGTTGTAAAATCTTCTATGTAACATTTCTCATAATTTACAATAAATAATACAGACGTTAAAAACAAAAAAAATGTGAAAGATTCATATATGATTAAGACAGTATATTATAATTGAGAAAACAAAGTGTAAAATTTTATTAGTATGTATGTATTGGATCACCTCATGCTTGGCAAAATTTTAAACACTAGTACTAAAAGTAATTTTAAACACTGAAAGTGATTTTCAATTATGAAAAGGAATTATATATGTGATTTTTAATTTAGTGAGAAATCCATATCACAGCGCAAAAGAAAAATGTCCAACATTTGGTAAATTAAACAAAAAAATCTTGATGAAAAGTACTTAGCGAAGATAGCGGCAAATAGGGTGGTTTCCAAACAAAGTTGCATTCCTCTGAGAGCCAGGCTCGAACCGTAACATGGCTACATCACATGCATAGTTCATCTTTCCAGTTGTCCCATATCTACAATCCGGAAGAAGCAATCGCGATCCGAACCTTATTTCACCTATTTCCTTGATATCCTTCATAATATCTTTCAGAATCACACCGTCCATATCTCCTTCAGAAGCAATCGATGAAACCCTAATCAGCTGAGCTCACCATGGTATCAGATTGTAACTGATCAATCATGAAAAGGAATTACACAAAAATATGTGAACAAATAAGCTAAATAATTTTATAAAATTTCTAAAATATAGAGTATAGAATAGAAAAAGAGGTGTAACCTCTCTATGAATGAAGTAGCAATGGTAACACCTTTGTATATTATGGAAAACTGAAAGTTTCCTTTGAGACACATATACAAACCAGGAAGATCACTAGGGATCCTTAACAATAAATCCCATTTTACACTAAGACGAGTCTCGGTTATATTAAGGACCGTGAAATCGATAGAAGGTATTGTAATATTTGGGACATAATTTTGTTCTTCTTTGTGTTGTTCATACACAACGTACGTAAAAAAACCGAAAAACAATAAGACCACTATTACGAGAAAAAACGGCACATAATAATCTTTTAGTGTCAACGGACGCAAATAGGTGAGTTTGGGAACTAATGCTTCTATTTCCATTTAGAAACGTGTATATCTAAGCAAATTGTTTTTTTCTTTTTCTTATGTCAATGTTTTTTTTTTTTTTGGTGGGATTTCTTATGTCAATGTTAATATATAGCTGTTAATATCTTTTTCTTTCACAAAAATTTGATAAGGTTTTCAATCTTTTTTTTTTGATAAGTGTATATCTTTTTATTGATAACTTTCCATTCTGTATTATGTTTCCTTACTTTAATTAAGTTATGCTTTAAAATTTAGAGTAATGTAAGGAAGTTTAAAATCAAGAATTGATTCAAAATCCAAAAACTATGTGTGGGAAATATAATTACCTTATATAAATGTATTTTTTTCTTATTAAAAAGTGTATTTGTTGTTACCTTTTTTTGCATAAGGTTCCAATAATCATCTTTGTACAAATCTAGATTTTGCAATTTTTAAGGTACTAATTTCATTTTCTGTTTTTTTTTTGCTAAGAAAATTTATTTTTTGTTATTAAGTATTATAATATTATTTCTATTCACTTAAATACTTTTAAAAATAAAATCTGTTTTAATTCATGAGGATTCCCTTTTACACATGGTTCATCTAATGCAAATCTAAATTATCACTTTTGCTTAGTTTTCCAAAATTACTCCTAAAATCCAGAAATATCACAAAGTTTTTTTTTTTTTTTTGAACAAAGTAAATATCACAAAGTTTATGTGGTTGAATGGTTACCAAAAGCTTTAATTTATACTAAAATAATTTACCATTTCTTATTATAAATTTTGGAACAATTAAATAAAGATAAAATGCATGGTATTTTGAGATTATTTTCAAATTTAAGTGTTTTCGGAACTAAAATTTGTTCTTAAGGACTTTAGATATATATTGCTTCAATAACCATTTTTACTAAGATATTTCTTTTGTTTTCAATAATCTGTTTTACATAGGCCCTGTTCTAAAAATCCCCGCCTCGCCCGATTACTCCCCGCTTAATCCCTAGACCCACCTTCTCCGCCTCGATTAATGACTAATCCCTTAAAAAAATCAGTTACCCGATTACTCTCCGCCGCCTAATCCGATTATTTTCCGCCTATTCTTACATATCCCGATTATTTTTTGATTGAAAGTATAAAACAACTCTTTTTTTTTTTGTTATTTAAACATTTGAATTGGAAGTTTGTGATGTTTTATAATAATTTATGTTCAAATTTTTAATAAAAGTCATAATTTTTAATAATAAATCATAAAAATTTGCCTTAAAATATATATTTTATGTGTTTATTACAATTTTGAAAACAATATTAGATTAATATATTTTTAAAATACTAAAATAACCCTAAAACTAATCTCCGATTTTAATCCGATTTTTCGATTAATCGCTGGGCCCATACCGAACGCCCGACTAGCGCCTAGCGATTTTTCAAACAAGGTACATAGGTGATAGGTGTCACACTCCAATGAACAATACTCTTTTCTTTCAAAAAAATATAATATTTTAGTTAGAAATCCTATATTATTATTTGGGAAGTATATCCTATAAGTCGTAACATTGATTTAGTAAAAAATTACAATATATACGATTAGAGATCTCTAATCATAATCATTTTAATTCCATGTCACTAATATTAAGCAATTCATTAAAAAACGGGTCAATGGGTCAAACGGGTTTAAAGATATTAAAAAGATTTTGTTTAGATATAATTCGAATTTATAAAGAAAAAGTTGTTCTTCACGTATCAAAAAAGTATTCACGAATCAGTTATATTTTTTTTAAGCTTAATCACACATCAAATTTAATCTGTTATTCAGTTTCCTTAAAATTCTTTCTAAATATTGTTGGTTGTTATATTTTGTTTAGATATAAATTCGTATAATCACGATTTTTAATCTTTGAGAATATATTCAGTTACCTTATAATCATTTATCGTCAATTGTAGATTTTTTTTAAATATTCTGTTTCCTATAAAGAAAATGTTTTGGTTAGCTTAATCACACATCAATATAATCTCTTATTCAGTTTTCTTAAAATCCTTTCCAAATATTGTCAAATATATCTCTTATATTAGTTGTGATTCTATATTCCAACTAATCTAGAATATACCTTTTCTTAAATATTATCTCACTAATTTAGTCTAACTAATATATTTCTAAATCTCCTAATATCATAAACGACGACCTTTACCTATAAATAACCATCTTAGCTTTACCATAATACTACCTTTGTCACCATAATCATCAGAGTCTCTCTTTTATATCCTGCCAAATTGTTTTAGCAGAATTTAGCTATGATTAGTCGCTACACTCCTGTCAACAACTTGAAGCCTTTCAAGACTTCTTGATGTATTTAAGTTAAGATACTTCATTCACTACAAGAAATTTGTTCATTGTTAGCGCTAAAAATATGCTATCTTACGTTATAGATAGCGAATTCACAAACGCTATGTTCTCGTCAGCTATGGTAGAGGACACCCATACGATAGCGTTTTCTGACATGCTATTATAGATCGTTCAATTATAGGGGTAATAGAATGCTGCAATATACTATATTATAGCACACATTTAGTAAAATAAATATATTACTAAAAGTATTACTACATTAACAATTTCTTACATAACATCATACAAAGTTTTAAACAAAATAAAGCTAACATCATAAAGATAAACTTCAATCTCATTTATATGTTTCGCCTTCCCATATCATCCCCGTCCATAATCTCTGTAAGCATGTGTACAAAAACATCAACATATATCACAGTCTTCAATCTTGTTTCCTCAATAGTTTTTATCTTAAAATCAATGCTGCATCAAACGCCAAAAATTTAACAAACTCAGAGAGACATCTAGAAGAAAATAAAGAGATAACTCATACATATATCAGTCTCTAATTTTTTTACATGGTAAAGAGATTCAAACCCAATAGTGGTGATGAAGCTCATGGTAATAATATTAAACAAAGAGGATGCTAAACTAATCCATGTATATAAACCAAATAACGAGATCACAAAACATGGTGAAATCATTAGTTGCAAATAGTTCTACCTAAAGTAAACACACCACACCATAAAAAACACAACAGTTTTAAAATCATCAGAATAAAGAAAAGAAAAGAGCAAGGTATTTATATTCTTAAAAGACTACCTCTTTCGTGAGCATTCGTCCTCAACATGTCCCACCTCTTTCTTAACAGCTCCTAAAGATGAAGAAGAATTGATTTCCACTACCTGTTCTTGTATATTCTGCTCATCTATCTGTAATAACATTAAAGCATAGGTATTTGGAGCAGCAAAGTATTAACATTATTTCCACTTGTCTTATAAACTAATCTCTGCATATCACAAAGAGAATACATATCTACAAAAGACAACCTATGTTTTTATCAAAATGTAAAACTAATTAAGATGTTAGAAATATCAAAAGCACCTGAATTATCCTTCCTTGTTCTTTATTTTGCCAACCATCAAGTCATCCACAAAAAATCCATAATATCAAACGGAGAAATTAACCAAACCAAGCACTAAAATTCAAATAGACAATGTGTAGCCAAACCTGAAGATCATCAACTTCACAGCCAACGTGGAGCAAGACCCTTATACAAGCTGCAAAATAAGAAATCAAACACAAAGGCTAGCAGTAACAAGAAAGTACCTTCCAAAATCCTCTCCTTTAAATAATAAAATCACATTAAATCATCAGAATCTTTTGATTCACTTCTCTCCGACTAATCTCATGTTGGACTACTAGTGCATGTCTCAGGAGCTTCAGGCTTTTCAACAGGTGTAGCCGTGTAGGTGAAGACACGACTTTCTTATTTTCATTACGAGCATTCTCGTTCGCAGCTTGCTTCCTATTGTTCATTTACCTACACTAAAAAGTTCAAATAAATGAAGTTACTAAATCCGAAGAGCAAATATAGACACATCATGTGTTAGAACTTAGTATTGAAGTAATCTTACATTTTTTTACGGTTCCACCACTCGAGATATTCAACAAGTCTCTCTCAAATCGTACAAGTTCCAGCTGCAACACTTTAGAAATCAAAATGATAATTTAATAGAAAGAGTTTCACACACGAGCTCCATCTCTAGATACAAAGAGTTTTCTTTTTGGATTTGAAGCTTACAGTTTACAGTTTTCTCCTAATGAAGAATACCTTTTTGGTTTTCCAATTTCCAAATTAAAGAAAGCTAAAATCCCTAATTGAGATGGCTTACCATTTTGCGAGGATGAAGAAGGAGAAGAAGAAGAGTCATTGAATCTCTACTTATCGAAGTATATTAATCCGTCCATCACCACCATTACCATGTCCTCTCTCTCTCTCTACTTCCCGATCTAAAACTCTTCGAATCATCCCTTTCTCTACTTGAATTCATCTTCTCTGTTCCCAAAGCGATTCTCCTCCACGGTAGATTGAAACTTCATCGTGAGAAATAGATCGGGATTGATAGGCACAGATGTGGGGTTTCGGTTGCGTCTATTTAATTTGGTGGTGGCGGCAGCGGCGGAAGCCATTGGAGGGGAGTTAGGGTTTGGCTGAGTTGATTCGAGAGAAAGGAAACTGGAGGAGGAGGGTGGGGAGAGACGGTCAGCCACAGTGGCGGTGACGGCGAGGATACAGGAAGAGGCTGCAACTAGCTTCAACGGTGGAAGCGACGAGATTTGTTAGTGAGCCTAAGAGTTTTTTTTTTTTCTAGTCTCTGAGATAATTTGTTTAGGTCTTTGAGAAAAGAAGAAAAACTAAAGTGTTCGCGGCTATCTAAATTTTTTGGCTAAGTATTGACGGAATACGTGATTTTAACTTCCCGCTTATTGATTTTCTATTATAGCGTTTATTAAATGCTATTGATAGAAATTATTCAAAATCAAAATCTCAAATCAATCATTCATAGCAATTAGTGAAACCGTGCTATTGTGAACTGCTATCAATGCTCACTTTTTTTGTAGTGATTCCTGGATTCAATTTACAAAAGGTTCTGGCATGTCATTGGAAATGATTTTGGAAGATGAGGTTGTAAGTACTATTGAAATTTTATGCAATTCTCTTTGTAATATATGTGTCGCAAGTTTTAACTCATCTTATTTTAATTACAGGGTAACAAAATTCAAGCATGCATCAAAAAAGAACATATCCGCAAATTCCAAAGGTATGTGAAGAAAGGAGATTGGAAAATAATTGAGGATTATACCCCGTGCTAGATAATAGCATTATACTTCCTCTCTCCTTCAACTTTATTCTCTCTTTATTTATTACCAAGTCATGTTTTTCAATCAAGTTACGATTCAACAACATTTAATTCCTATAATAAAATAACCAAATATGATAAGGAAAATAGATCTAAAATTAATCATATATAATCATATATTTTATTTAGTTCTACAAACAAAATATACAACCATCGTCAAATGAAATATACAACATTATATCTAAATAGTAATAAACATAGAATATTATGATATATTCCCTTTTATACTATACTATTACACTATATTATTTCTTACATAATTCAAACAAAATATACAATTTAATTCATAAAAAATATTAAACCCCGTTCTGTATAGCATGGGTCATGATAACATTATAAGAATTACATCTTCTAGAAGAAAAAATCATTTCATATGTACTTGTCTAATACTAGTTTGAAAGAGAAGCCTTAGAGGAGTTTGGACGTATCCGTCAAGACCCAAGCAAATCGATACTTTTCTTTGTATCAGAAACTCGGGCCATATATGGACTCTTTTTAAGTGCTATATATAATCAAAAATATTCAACCCATTTCTTTAGTCCAATGCTGAATATTATTTATCTTTCATGTATGATAGGTAAAATCCCTGTTCTAAAAATCTCCGTCTAGCCCGATTATTCCCCGCTTAATCGCTAGGCCCACCCTCTCTGCCTCGATTAATGACTAATCCCTTATAAAAATCAGTCACCCGATTACTCTCCACCTAATTCGATTAATTTCCTTCTAATCCGATTATTGAGGTTCATCTTGAATGGAAGTCTGGTTGGCCGGTACTTTCCAGTAGATTTTGCAACTGTAAAATTTTCCGCAGTTCTCCACTCTCCAGTTGTGATGAGCCTTTGAAACTTGTTGACTTGCTGTTTCTTGACAGTTGCATGAATCAAGGTACCCTGTATTTAGCAAATTAAGAGAATTTAACATTAGATGAACACATAACCATTAAAAGAGTAAATCTATACTATTGGTAAAAAGATACTTACAGATGTATCAGCAAGAACCATCTCGACAGTCTCCCCAGAGTATTGGGTGTATTGAGTCCATGAATGGACGATTTTCACTTGGATCTTCCATTGAGTCTTGAATGGTTTGACTGCATTAAGTTCGGTGATGGGAAGAGCCATTGTTTGAGAGGTATGCTTTGGGTTTGATAGCTTAGTGAGTATTGAGAATGTCGTTAACGTTTGATTTCTATATTTATAAGAGATGGAGGACATCTAGGGTTGCTTAGGATTTAGAAAATTACCGCCTAAGATAAGATTTGAGAATAAGAATAGTTAAGGTATATGCTTAATTTATTCGGATATGAATATATAGAGTTTGTTATAGGTCCACGAAAACTAATAACTAATCAAGGAAATCGAATATTAAGAGATAAGTTTTCTTTGAATCATCTAAATATATGGGATTGAGTTGTTATTGAAATATCGGTTTGGTTAATTTGAATGTATAGGTTTGTTTTTTATGGAAAATATCTTTATAGGTCCGAGAAAACTAATAACTAATCAAGGAAATCGAATATTAAGAGATAAGTTTTCTTTGAATCATCTAAATATATGGGATTGAGTTGTTATTGAAATATCTTTCTTGGTTAATGGTTAATTTGAATGTATAGGTTTGTTTGTTATGGAAAATATCTTTATATGCACGAATCTAATTTTATGTTTTGTTTTAATGCAGATCGGAGTACTAAATGCGAGAGAAATATAAAGGCCCAGCTTGACTAAGCCCAGTAAGCTCATTATGCACTTCTGGATGAAGATCCGACTGGTGGCTCCAAGATCCGCTGGTAATGGCTCCAAGATCCGCGTGTAATTGCCCTGGAAATTGTCCATTATACCCTCTGACGAATTTGGTTATTTAGTCGTAGGTTTAAAATTTTCCAATGGCATTCTATTATAATTTTTTACACTTTATAAGGTTAGTTAAGTTAGAATGATTCCCAATTAATAGTATAGATATATATACCCAATTTTGTTTGGTCAATGTTAATATACATCAATAAATAACTTCTTTTTATATTTTTTTTTGTATTGTTTCCTTACCTTTAGTAAATGTAGATCTTTAAAAAAAAATGTATATCTTTTTTATAACTTTTTCATTTTGTATTGTTTCCTTACCTTTAATAAGTTATGCTTTAAAGTTTTGATTAGTGTAAGAAAAAAAAAATTAAGGAAGATTTGATTCTAAACCTATAAAATATGTGAGATTGGAAAATATTATTACCTTATATAAATTTATTTTTATTAATTAAAAAGTGTATTTTGTTGTTACCATTTTTGCATAAATTTTCAATTATATCAAATTTGTACCAAATCTAGATTTGCATTTTTTGTGGTATTCTATTAGTTCTATTTTCTTACAACTAAAATCTATTTATTTAAATTACCAATTTATTTTTATAATAAATACAATTTTATGTTTAGTTCCAAAATTACTCCTATAATCCAAAAATATCACAAAATATAAGTTTATGAATTGAAGGGTTATTATAAGTTTAGAAAATATACTAAATGATTTACAAACTCTTATCCCATTAAACTTTTATGTGGTAAGTCTTAACTGGGTGTGTTGCGGTTACCTCGAATCTTCGTAGATGAGGTATTAATTGCGATATAGGATATGATAGATGTGGGCAACCTAAAGAGACAATTAACAATGTCCTTTTTGAATGCCCACATGCACGTCAGACATGGGCTTTATCACAGATTCCAACGGCACCCAACATTTTCCCATCAGGCTCTCTCTATGTAAATATGGATTTTTTATTTTGGCGAACAACATCTGATATACACATCGGCGTTCCCTTAGATTATTTGGTACTTATGGAATGCCAGGAATGACAAGATTTTTAATAACATGGACAAAAGTGCACCTGAGATTCTAAGGTTGACAGAAAATGAAGAGCAAGTCTGGCAATTGGCTTAGGTAGAAATCTCGGATGACAACCTCGAAACGGTGGTGGCGAATACTCACCATCATTCTAGAGTTGAACATACATAGCAGTACAGATCAGGATATCGGTGTTTCATAGACGGTTTTTGGAGAAAAAAGTGATCGTTTTCTGAATTAAGATGGTGTTGTTCTTACCCAAATGAAGGAACGCAAGACATGGGTGTTGCAAATATTCGAAGAAGTTTAACCTCACTACATGCAGAGGTAGAAGCATTAATCTGGGCGATGAGATGTATGATCGGCCAAGACAAAAGAAAATTAGTTTTCTTTACAGACTGTTCCGACCTGGTGAAAATGGTGTCTTTCCTGCAAGAGTGGCTAGCGTTCGTGACATACTTGGAGGCGATTCAGAGTGACAAGAAAGAGTTTGATTCATTTTCTTTATCTTTAGTTTATCGAAATGCAAATGTGAAGGCGGATAAATTGGCACGACCATTCGTACCCAACTGCATCTTACTACCTATGTAAACAATATTCTTCAGCATTGGCTTATTTGAGTCAATCTAATAAAGTTGTTGACAAAAAAAAAACCTTTATTAAACCTAATATTTATGGTGTATTTAAAAAAAAATTCAAATAGAAGTGATTTGTTATTAATTTTTAATATTTTATTAGTTTCTGAATAAAATTTTTTTGCATAGGTATCACATCCAATAAATATTATGTTTCCAAATTATATGATGTTTTTTTTTAAATCACGAATATACATGATCATAACTTCTCAAATAAAACAACAAAATTTTAAAACATCCTATATTTTGAAACGGAAGGAATAAATTATATATTGTTAACATGTATGTATCATATGAATTATATACTGATGTTACAATGTTTATATAATTTCGCAACAAAAGAAAAACTATGTTTAGATAAATGATAAAACTGCTATTTATTTGTTGTGAACCTCAAGCTTTTTAATAATAAAATATGATTCACAAATCAAAAAAAAAACATATAATTTTTGTTGAGATGATTATACGAAGCTATAAAATAAAACAAAAAGATATCTCATTATCACATTACATATGAGTTGCAATAAATTCGTGCAAGCAACCACTCGCATGTTCTGTCCCACGTTCATCCATTACACTCTCACTATAGACTAGCTTATTCACAATTATGAATTTTACCACAAGTAAGAAAAAAATAACACTGTTTATTTAGTTTTTTAACTTCGCAAACAACAAAAATAGTTTAATATAGAATCGGAGTCTGTAGTTTAAAAGCTTCGAAATTTGGTTACTTATAATTCAAGTCTGGTTAACTCAATAAGTTTTTTTTTTTCTTGGTCAACTCAATAAGTCCGTTGTTCCAGTATTTTCAGATGCGATCTTAAGAGATTATTATTATTATTATTCGAATCATAGAATTTGATAAACAAGTTCAATTTTATTTGACTTTGAATTGAAAACTAAACTTTATTGCTTTTCTAAGGAAACAACAATTATACGAGCTCTTGACAAAATGTGAAACACACAATGATAAGAGCTTAACATAACAAACACAATAGTAAAATGTAAAAAACAACTCTTCAAGACTTCACAAATCGAATCTTGAGACTAAAATTTATATGAAAATGAAAGCAAAAAAGCACAAACAATGAAGTAAGAAACAAGAATCGACAAGTTTTTGCCTTGTGATTAGACAAAGGCAGGCATGTCCTTGAGCCATGGGTCGAGTGGCTTACCAATGGAGTAAACGATGAAACCAATCTCTCTTAACTTGTTAACATTCATAATGTTTCTTCCATCGAAGATAAAAGCTGGTTTCTGCATGTTGTCGAAGATCTTCTGGTAATCTAACGATTTAAACTCGTCCCACTCAGTCAAAATGCAAACCGCGTGTGCGTCTTTTGTAGCTGCATATGCGTCCCAAGTCACACTCACTTGTGTCACTGTGGTTGGACTCATTGGCTGCAAGTGAAGAGGATGGTCCCAGTCAAACTTTTTCATCGCGAGATCTCTCATAATCTGTTTCTCTGTGACTTGAGGATCATAGATACTGATTAGCGCTTTGTCTCCTAACAGACCTTTACACACATCAATGGCAGGTGTTTCCCTTGTGTCACCTGTGTCTTTCTTGAATGCGAATCCGAGGATCGCAACCTTCTTGTTGGAGACAGTGTTGAACATAGAGGATACGATTCTGTTCACGAACCGGTTCTTTTGGTAATCATTGATCTTGATCACTTGTTTCCAGTATTCCGCCACTTCTGGAAGGCCGTTGCATTGACAGATGTAGACGAGATTCAGAATGTCCTTCTGGAAACAGGAACCGCCGAATCCAACACTAGCGTTCAAGAATTTGGAACCGATTCTTGAATCAGTACCAACAGCGTAAGACACTTGAGTAACATCAGCACCGGTGGATTCACAGAGAGCAGACATGGCATTGACTGACGAAATCCTCTGAGCCAAGAAAGCATTTGCAGCCAACTTAGAAAGCTCCGCAGACCAGAGATTTGTTGTGATGATTTGGTCTTCAGGAACCCAATTAGCATAAACCTCCTTAAGTGTCTGAACAGCTTTGAATCCTTCAGGTGTTTCTCGCCCACCGATCAAGACACGGTCAGGGTTAAAAAGATCAGCGATAGCAGTTCCTTCTGCAAGAAACTCCGGATTCGAAAGAATCTGAAACTTGATCCCTTTACTATTATGCATCAAAATCTTCTCAATAGCTTCAGCTGTCTTGACCGGAACAGTCGATTTCTCAACAACAATCTTATCAGAAACCGATACATCCGCGATCATACGAGCAGCACTCTCCCAATAAGTGAGATCCGCAGCTTTCCCAGCTCCAAGACCAGTCGTTTTAGTCGGTGTGTTAACAGAGACAAAAACAATATCAGCTTCTCTAACATGTTTCTCCACATCAGTACTAAAGAAAAGATTCTTCCCTCTACATTGGTTAACAATATCGTCAAGACCTGGCTCGTAAATCGGAAGCTGATCACTATTCCAAGCATCGATCCTAGGAACAGAGATATCAACAACTGCTACTTCAATATCTGGACATTTCAATGCAATCACTGCCATTGTTGGTCCACCGACATATCCAGCTCCAATACAACAGATCTTCACCATATTTTTTCTCTGCAAAATTCAAATTAAGAACAAATATCAACACAGATCTACATTAGGAGCTCAGATCTGGACTATATATACTAGGAAAAACGTCGAACACTTGGTGTGCAAGCAAAAAACTACTCATGATTTCGATCTGATCCAAACAAACACACAAAAATCACTCAAATCACACGGATCTAAACACAAATCTAGCCTAATTTCGAAGAAATCGATATTCAGAAACTAAGATTAACACAGGATCTATACACATTTCGAGAATACTCAATAGAAATTTCAGAAACAGAAAGAACCGATCTATAAGAACGATTCAGAGAGAGATTATATAAGATTCAGCTAGAGATTCTTGAGAAGAATCAACAATGTAGCTCAAGAATTGTGAAGAGAGATCGAGATTTACCTCCGAAGATTCGTAGTGAAGAAGTTGTTCTCTTGAGAAAGGAGAAGAAACGACGAGGAAGAAGAAGAAGAAATGTTAACAGTTTATAGAAAGAGTTTCGGTTAAAGGGTAAAACGGAGAATTCGTTGGAAATATTGGAAAATTACGAAATTGTCCTTGTATGAAGTAGCCCACGTTTTTTCACATAGTCTATGCACGACGAACTCACTCACTGCTAGCCGCCGACTTTGCTTTGTCCCCAAAAACTCAGCTTTATTTATTTTGTTACGACGATGCTGATGCATGTATTAATGGTAGATTGTTTAATTCTTGGTATAGTATAGTTATTATGTAATTAGCAGAATCATTAACTAACCGTTTCTCATATTTCTGGTGGTCTTTGCTGAAAGGTTTTCTCAATCTCTTACTCCCTCCGTTTCGTTTTAGTTGTCGTTTAAGGTTTTCTCACACAAATTAAGAAAACCATTAAATTTTATGTTTTACCTTTCATTAAGATATTTTATAATTTTTTCATTGGTCAAAACATTAAAACAATAGAGATAAAACTGGAATTTTTACAAAACATTTGCATTGAAAACCTAAAACGATAACTATTATGAAACAAAATTTAAATCTCAAACGACAACTAAACTAAAACGGAGGGAGTATATTTTTCGGTTTTTCAAGATCCTTATCCATTCATCTTGAGAAATCATAAACTAAAAATTTAACACCCTATCGATGGACTGAAGTTTTTGCTTCCATGTTTTAATATAATTTTTGTCAAAGAACCGAGGTATATATAGGTTTTGCTTTTGTAAAACCTAAACAATTCACTTTTAACGATATTTACATTTTTACCAAAAGAAAAGAATCTAGTCTCAATATTTCGTCTTTCCAATGCTAATAATGTCTTCATGGAAATTTTCTTCTCATTTTCAGAAAAACAATTTCAGATGAAAGTCTAATCACTCCAAATTCTCACTAAAGACGAGCTATATGAATGGCCTATCATAATATCCGTACCCAAATCTTTTTCTGCTTCTCCATGACTTAATCTGCTAAAACCACTTTGTTTGGAACAAACTTGTGTTTTAGATTAATACAGTCAGACTAGAATTAATTAAAAATAAGATGTTAAGAATATATTAGTACTGAACCATAAACGTTGGCTATACAAAGTTATAGACCTGACGGTAAAGCTTTAATGAGATTCTAGAATCCAGTCGTATCTAAGAAGCCACAAAACATCTTCCTTGGTCTAAGCAACATCGTAGAATTTCAATTAAATCCCAAAAATATCGAGAAGCCCAAAATTTCTCTACCTAGCTATAAATACCTACATTCTCTCATGAACAATAATCGTCAATAAAATTAATAAGATTTGATAAAAGAGAGATAAAGTCATGGAACTCTTAAAAAGATTATTATATGCAAAAATTTTGATGATGGTAATGGTGATATGGATAGCACCTATGACATACGGTCATGGTCATGCAACCCACGTACCCGGTGGAAGAACCGGCCCACCCATGACTGGTGCCCACCCTTCCCATGGTGCCCACCCTTCCCATGGCGTCCACCCATCCCATGGCTCCCAACCTTCCCATGGCGCCCACCCATCCCATGGCGCCCATCCATCCCATGGCGGCCTTGGGCCGCATTCTGGTTGGGGTCATGGCCGTGCCACATTTTACGGTGACATCAATGGTGGAGAAACTCAACGTAAGCAGCTAAATATATACTAATAATTCAAAAATCTCGAGACCTGTAAAAATGTTAAGATTGTTTAGACGTATACAAAAGCCAACATGAAGACGTACGTAGTAAATGATACTCATGAATCTTTGACCACTAGACTAATATTGTTTGCTTATGCATTTACACAATTAACCAAAAAAGTTTAGAAATATTATTGACAGAACGAAACTCATAATAATTATAATTTACAAACGCGCAAGTAAACACATGCATGCAAACGAAAAATAACGAAGCCACATAATTAATTAATTTTTTCCTTCACATAATTAGTTTTGTTTTTGAAAGTAATACATAGTTTTTTTTTCTATTTAATAGAGGGAGCTTGTGGATATGGTGATCTACACAAACAAGGATATGGTCTAGAGACAGCAGCACTAAGCACCGCACTATTTAACAACGGCTCAAGGTGTGGGGCTTGTTTCGAGATCAAGTGCGTAGATGCTCCACAATGGTGTTTGCCAGGTTCCATCAAGATCACAGCTACAAACTTCTGTCCACCAGATTTCTCCAAGCCCAAAGACTGTTGGTGCAACCCGCCACAAAAACACTTTGATCTCTCGCAACCAATGTTCCTCAAAATTGCCAAATACAAAGCCGGGGTTGTCCCGGTTAAATTTAGACGTGTTCCTTGTGCGAAAATCGGAGGTGTCAAGTTTGAAATCAAGGGAAACCCTCATTTCTTAATGATCTTACCGTACAATGTAGGAGGAGCTGGAGATGTTAGGGCCATGCAAATTAAGGGAACGAGGACCGAGTGGATTGCGATGAAGAAGAATTGGGGACAGATTTGGAGCACTGGTGTTGTGTTGACCGGACAATGTTTATCGTTTAGGGTTACGACAAGTGATGGAATTACGAAAGAGTTTATTGACGTTACCCCGCCGGATTGGAAATGTAATGGACAGAGTTTTGATGGAAAGATTAATTTTTAGAAAAAGAATTTGAGTTTTGTTAGCTAACACTTGCAATAACTAAGAAATCCGTTGTTATTAGTTAACAAAACTATGTCCATTACATTTCCAATCCGTTGTTATTAATTAATTTGTAATATAAAAAATCCGTTGTTATTAGTTAACGAAGTCTTGTGACATATAATTGGTTTGATGATTTCAGAGAAAAACAATATGGTCACTAATGAAGATAAATTTTCATAGGTATTTTATGTCTGAGGAAAAAGATCCATTTCCAATTTATAGCCTCTTCTTCCCCTACATGTGTTTGGACTTTAACCAGATTATGAGTTTAAGAATGAAATGGGCCGGGCCAGGTTGTCCGAGATCCAACACCAAATCGTCATTTGTTTTAATTTCTTGATATTGAAAATGGTTTACATTTTAAATTGGATATTTCATATTCTTTTAAATATGAAAAACCATCATTAAATAAGTAGTCAAAAAGAAATGAGACTTCACTCCACATTTTATGACTTTTTGAACCTATTAACATCGTACCATATTATTCAAAATACACAGGGCAATGTTATCACTTCTCAGGATGCAGATTGACTACAAAAACTTCAATACAATTACTAATTTATGTCTACTTAGTAAATATATTCACATTTGGAAAGATTCTTATCTACCTATATATAGACCCACCACACCCATCAATATTCATCACCTATCAAAGTTAAGTAAGCAAAATATCATTCAAGGGGAATAATAATCATGAAACTCTTAGGAAAAATGATATATGTAGAATGTTTTATGATAATAATGGCGACATGGTTCGTGTCCATGAGTTATGGTCATCGAGCGATGATGGTTAGTGATGTAGCCGAAGCACCCGTGATTGACGATGTAGTAGGAAGCCCAACCAACGGACTCGACACTTCTTGGTATGACGCACGAGCAACATTTTACGGTGATATCCATGGTGGAGAAACTCAACGTAAGTGAAAATACTAATATTTTTCTTGATTAATCCAATTATTGAATTCTTGTTTTGTTTTCAAAACATCGTATACGCTGCGATTGTTTTAAATACTTACTTTTGCGTTTGCGTTTGCGATTGCATTTACATTTACTAAAAGAAACTACGAGTGTTTTTCTATATAAAAAGTACGAGTATATGATAACATGTTATTATAAATAATCTTAAAACATTCATTTTTATTTTATTTTTATTCAATATAGAGGGAGCTTGTGGATATGGTGATCTATTCAGACAAGGCTATGGTCTAGCCACAGCGGCATTGAGCACAGCACTCTTCAATGAAGGGTACACATGTGGGGCTTGTTACGAGATCATGTGTGCGAACAATCCACAATGGTGTTTGCCCGGATCCATTAAGATCACTGCTACAAATTTCTGTCCACCAAATTACACCAAAACCGTCGGCGTTTGGTGCAACCCACCCCAAAAGCATTTTGATCTCTCCTTACCAATGTTCCTCAAGATCGCCCAGTACAAAGCTGGGGTTGTTCCAGTTAGATACAGACGTGTTGCTTGTGCAAAAACTGGTGGTGTCAAGTTTGAAACCAAAGGAAACCCTTATTTCTTAATGATATTGCCATACAATGTAGGAGGAGCTGGAGATATTAAGTTCGTGCAAGTTAAAGGAAACAAAACCGGGTGGATAACAATGAAAAAGAATTGGGGACAGAATTGGACCACTGGTGTTAAGTTAACTGGTCAGGGTATATCGTTAAGGGTTACAACGAGTGATGGGATTACAAAAGATTTTATTAATTTGATGCCAAAAAATTGGGGATTTGGACAGACTTTTGATGGAAAGATTAATTTTTAGGAGAATGATTTCAGTTTTGTTGGTCGCGTCTTACATGTAAGAGATGTATTGGGTGCAATGATTAAAAAATCTATGATATTATTTATGTGTTACTTTATTAAACAATATATCGTTTCAAATATGGTTTCACTTTTTATTAAATCAGAAAAACTAAAAGCTGAAGAAATCGAACATATTCCAAGCCATAAACAGGACATGTCTTTTAACTTTCAAGTTTCATTTAGGGCTTCAGCATCCGTGAGATACGGTAAGAGTTTCTCAAAAATAAACAAATTCTATATTTATATTTTAATTCTTTTAATAATTGAACCAATGACAAAGTTGCAGCTAAGATTTTGAGTCTCTCATAAGGTTCTTCAAGTTTCTCATTTGAGAACCCTTTTCTAACATATTTCATACTTTTTTATTATTTTATATCTTTTAATTATGAGATATCCTCTTTAGAGATTGTGGATAGAAATGGCCTTAATTACTGAGTAATTTTTTCTGATATTATTGAAAACCTAATTTTTCAAATTTAACAACAAATAATCAAACGAAATCTAGAGGCGGAAAATTTATCAAATTAGTATAAACAAAAATAACATATATATCTTGTAATAAAATTAGTTCTAGACCAAAAAAGCTTAGTCAATAGTCAACACTCAACCTATTTTATTCAAAATACACATATGGGAAAGTTTTCTTTTTCTGGCTGCTTACATATGACAATATTAAATTCTCAGGATGCATATTGACTACATAAACTTCAATACAATTACTAGTATAGTAAGTTTATACTTATATATATGCCCACCCAAATGGCTCCCATCAAAATTCATCATCAATCAAAGCTTAGTAAGAAAATATCATTACAGAGGGATAATAATCATGAAACTCTTAGAAAAAATGATATATGTAGAATTTTTGATGATAATAATGGCGGTGTGGGTCGTACCCATGAGTTACGGTCATGGAGCGATGATTCATGATGCAGCCGAAGCACCCGATGTAGCTGAAGCACCCGGGATTAATGGCCCAAGCAAGACACTCGACACTAATTGGTATGACGCACGGGCCACATTCTACGGTGACATCCATGGTGGAGAAACTCAACGTAAGATAAAATAATACTGTTTTTTTTTTCATCTCATTACGATTTTTTGTTGTTAAAACTATATGGTTCTTGGTTACTACGAATCTAATTATTGAATTCACGTTTTGTTCTCAAAATATTTTACATGCTGCGATTTTCTTAAGTGCGAATTTTTGCATTTCAATATATTTGATACAAATTTTTTCCAGAAAATATATTTACAAAGTAGTTTATATTGCCTGCTAGCTTTTTCGTTTGCATTTTAAACAGACCGAATAGAATTATATTAAAACACACAAAGATATAATTTTTTTTTTTTTTTTTTTTTTTTTTTTTGTGGGTAAAACACAAAGATATAATTCATTTTTCTGATTATTACATACTCACTTTTTTCATTATACATTCAATAGAGGGAGCTTGTGGATACGGTAATCTGTTTAGACAAGGCTATGGTCTAGCCACAGCAGCGTTAAGCACGGCACTCTTCAACGACGGGTACACATGTGGCGCTTGTTACGAAATCATGTGCGCGCGTGATCCACAATGGTGTTTACCCGGATCTATCAAGATTACAGCAACAAATTTCTGTCCACCAAATTACACCAAAACCGTTGATGTTTGGTGCAACCCACCACAAAAGCACTTTGATCTCTCTCTACCGATGTTTCTCAAGATCGCCAAGTTCAAGGCCGGGGTTGTCCCAGTCAGATACAGACGTGTTCTTTGTGCAAAAACTGGTGGAGTCAAGTTTGAAACCAAAGGAAACCCTTATTTCTTAATGGTCTTGCTATACAATGTAGGAGGAGCTGGAGATGTTAAGTTCGTGCAAGTTAAAGGAAACAAGACCGGGTGGATAACAATGAAAAAGAACTGGGGGCAGAATTGGACCACTGATACAGTATTGACCGGCCAAGGTTTATCGTTTAGGGTTACGACGAGTGATGGGGTTACAAAAGATTTTATTAATCTGATGCCAAAAAATTGGGGATTTGGACAGACTTTTGTTGGAAAGATTAACTTTTAGGAGAATGATTTGAGTTTTGTGAGCCGTGTCTTACACATATAAGTGATGTTTTATGTTCAATGATTAAAAATAAAGAGATATTGTTTACCGATGAAAAAAATAGTTGTATCTCCAATCTATATATTTGGCCAAGTAACTTCTGGGCTTAGGCCTGGACGAGTCACATAATGGAGAGTATCTAACAAGTCACCTCATCCTGGGACTGTTGGAGGACCAAAGACACCCGAAATACTTGAGTTATTGAAAAATAAAAAATTGACTACAAAACATTCAAATGCTATTTCATGTTATTAATAATTTATGTTCATTTACTAAACTGTGCACATTTGAAAAGATTTATATAATTAGCATAATAATTTTCATTTCGCTATCTATGTTATATGGATTTACATTTTCGATTTCTCATTGATATCAGTCATCAATCAAAATTCACTAAGAAAATAATCAAATACTCCTTCTGTTTCAAAATATATGATGTTTTGGCTAAAAGCACACATCTTAAGAAAATTTAATTTTTCTTTTAAAAGATCATTTAATATTTAATTTCAAAAATTCAACAAATTAGAAATAAGACTGCAGAATACAAACAGTCATATAATATCAATTATATTTAAAGTTGCATAGAAAGTTGTAAAACATTATATATTTTGAAACAAAATAAAAACTTTAAAACATCTTAAATTTTGAAAGAGAGGGAGTATCATTAAAGAGTGGTTAAAAAGAAACTCTTGGAATACACATAATTTTTTTTGTTGCATTGGCGATATGGGTCCTGCCTATATGAGTTACGTGTTGTAGCCGATGCACCTATGTTTGGTGATGTAGCCGAAACACCATAAATTAGTGATGTAGCCGACTAGCCGATGAGATGCAGTCTAGTTCTGAGCATATCACCCAAACTGAAATTTGGTTCGGGTATTATCCTAAAACCGAATGAAATAACCGAATTATTCGAGCCATGTTAAAGAAATATCTAAGCCCGTGCTCGAACCAATTAGAAATTAGACTGCAGAATACAAACAGTCATATAATATCAATTATATTTAAAGTTGCATAGAAAGTTGTAAAACATTATATAGTTTGAAACAAAATAAAAACTTTAAAACATCTTAAATTTTGAAAGAGAGAGAGTATCATTAAAGAGTGGTTAATTAAAAAGAAACTCTTGGAATACACATAATTTTTTTTGTTGCATTGGCGATATGGGTCCTGCCTATATCACTACAAGAAAACATACGTGTTGCGGCGGATAAAGGAGAATGACCCTCTCTGCATCCTGCATATATCGGATGATTTGCAGCATCTAACATATCGAAAAATCCCTGTGTTTCTAAGTTGGGTTCCTCCGCAACATTAGTATTTTCTACGTTATCATGAAATTCACCACTACCACTTCCAATTACATTATCTTCTTCCTGGTGAATATGCTCATCGCTAATTATAACGTTTTCATCTCTTCTTTCACGACTACTACTAGGACCCGATCTAAAATCCTCCCCGTGAGAAAACCATATATAATATCCCGGTGTAAAACCTCCCCAATATAAATGATTCCAAACAATGTCTTTTGCACGAAAATGATCATTACAACATTTGACACAAGGACATGCCATAATACCTTCGATACGCGTCATTTCTTGATTAGATGCAAACTGCATGAATTCCATTAAACCTTCCTTGTACTCCTGCCTCATAGCTCCGGTCTCATCATCTAATCGATTATACATCCACTCTCTAATTTTATAAATATTATGAGAAGACATTTTTTTTTCGAAGATATTTTTGTGTTTCTGTTTTTTTTTTTTAGACTTTTAGATATTTTTGTGTTTCTGTTGATTCTTTCGTTGTCTAGTATATATATAAAACTTTTCCGACTAACATTTTGTCGGAAATTCGTCGGAAATATTAAAGGTAACAACTTTAGATTTTCCGACTACTTTTCCGACTAATTTTTTCGATCAAGTTGTCGGGATTACGTCGGAACATGTGCAGTGAATAATCACGTGTTTACCTCGTTGTTTCCGACAAATTTTCCGACAAGTTTCCGAGCAGTTTCCGATGACATTGGATTGTCGGAATTTTCCATGGTTTCCGACAAATATTTCCGACGAAATTCCGACGAATTTTTAATCGTCGGAAAAGTTTTTATGTTTCCGACGAATTTCCGACGAAATATTATTTTCTTGGAAGTTTGTCGGAAATTCCCCGGAAATCCGTCGGAATAATTCCGACTAAAAATTTCGTCGGAAATGTTCGTCGGAAATTGCTATGTTTTCTTGTAGTGTATGAGTTACGTGTTGTAGCCGATGCACCTATGTTTGGTGATGTAGCCGAAACGCCATAAATTAGTGATGTAGCCGACTAGCCGATGAGATGCAGTCTAGTTCTGAGCATATCACCCAAACTGAAATTTGGTTCGGGTATTATCCTAAAACCGAATGAAATAACCGAATTATTCGAGCCATTTTAAAGAAATATCTAAGCCCGTGCTCGAACGATACACCTCTTGGCATGTGAGCCTAGTGTACATTAGTTTCGGTTAGTTTGGTATTTTTGGATAGTTTGGATATTTTTGGTTAGTTTCGGAAAGTAATTTGAGTAATTTTCGGATAGTTCGATTTGGTTAGTTTCTAGTTAGTTTAATAGTTCGGTTAGTTCGAGTATTTTTGGTTCATATGAATAATTTGTAACCGAACCAAAAACTATCCGAAAATATTTTTGTTCCAAGGTGGTTCTTCACTCTATTATCCGAACTGATCCAAATCGAAAGATATCTAAATCGGAACCGAACCGATCCAAATTTTGTTCGATTCATATATGGATCCTATACCTCCAACTGGAAACCCAAAAGTCCGAACCATAACCAAACTGAATACTCGACACTGACACGCATTTTACAGTGACATCCATGGTGTAGCCGTGTAGGCACTCAACATAGGTTCATGCATAGAAATGATCCTTTTTTATAACTCAGATGATCCTAAAAGGTTTCTAGGCCCAAAGACTAATCATAAGGCCCGGAGAAACCATGTTAGAATTCGAACCCCGGTGGCTAATGCTACACGAATCGAGATGGCAGAGACTTTTCTCTCCTTTACCACTAGACCAAGGCGACTATGATGATAGAAATGATCATTGAACTTTGAAAGTTTTCTAATTAAGAGTTTCATATGAGAAAATGCATTCCCTGAAACAAATAACTAAAGAGTTGAGCAGATTAATGTCGACCATTAACCATTTGGCCATTGATCATTCACAAGCTAGACATTCTAGAACTTTGTAAGATTACGTGTTTAGGATTGAAATGGGCTTTCTTTTGTGAAATCTGAGACCAACAGATACACTCGTTATGACAGATCTTCTGCTTTTGTTCCTTTCTTACTAAAGAGTATGGTTGATATTCATAATTGGATGTCATTTTTTTTTTTGAATTTATGTTAAATTATATTCAAAAGAAAAATATATCGTTTTTACAACTAGTGCATCGGTTTCGAAATAATGCTGAAAAAGAAAGCTGAAATTCTAGAGACTAAAGTGTTTTACACTCTTGAAGCAAACCAGACTTGAAGTCCTTCTTCATACCGCCGGTCTCCCATGATTCTAATCGATGAAAGGTTGTTTCGCAGTTGTTTATCAATCCAACCAATGAGTCGTGTAGCTGAATTCGGCTTCTCCCCATGCTTTCCTCCATTTTGTTCTCTCCAAATTGTGTAAACCGAGGCTTGTAGAGCATATCTCAAAAGAAAGCTTTCCACACGATTACGTTGCGTTTCTGAGACATTAATGGTTATTAGAGTTTGCCAATCCGTTGTATAGCGTGCCTTGAGAAGGTTCTTTGCGGTGGCTGTCCAAATTTCCGAGGCATAGGCACATGTAAAGAATAGGTGGTCACGGGTTTCCATGCAGTGATTGCAAAATACACATGCCACTAACGACCTCACATTCCATCTTGCCATCCTATCTCCTGTAGAGAGGCGGTTCAAAACTGCTAACCAAAGGAAATGGGACTCTCATTCCACATTTTCATCACTTTTAAGTTTTAACAACCTATTAACTTCTTACCATTTCATTCGAAATACAAAGATGGACAACGTTATCACTTCTAAGGATGCACATTGACTACATAAACTTCAATACGTTTGGAAAGATTTTAAAAGCTATTACAATAGTCAAATCTATTTCTCTACTTATATATACCCATCCATATTGTTCCCATCAATATTCATCATCAATTAAAGTTAAAGTAAAAAAAAATCATTAAAGTGGGATAATCATCATGAAACTCTTAGAAAAAATGATATATGTTAAATGTTTTTATGACCATTATGGCGATATGGGTCATTCCCATGAGTTACGGGTATGGAGCCGAACCACCCATGATTGATGATGTAGCCGACTCACCTGGAACCAACGGAGTCGACCCTGCTTGGTATGACGCACGAGCCACATTTTACGGGTGACATTCATGGTGGAGGCACTCAACGTAAGTTAAATACTAATATTTGGCCGAGATCTAATTACATTACATTGATGTTTTATTTCAAAATATTGTATAGGCTGCGATTGTTTTTATTGTAAACAAATAATCAAAGTCATAATTATTACATACTCACTTTATTTCATTTTACCTTCCATAGAGGGAGCTTGTGGATACGGTGATCTAAACAAACTATGGTCTAGCCAACTGCGGCATTGAGCACGGCGCTCTTCAACAACGGGTACACATGTGGGGCTTGTTACGAGATCATGTGTGCACGTGATCCACACTGATGTTTGCCCGGATCCATCAAGATCACTGCTACAAATTTCTGTCCACCAGATTACACGAAAACGAAAGATGTTTAGTGCAACCCACCACAAAAACACTTTGATCTCTCCTTACCAATGTTCCTCAAGATTGCCAAGTATAAAGCCGGGGTTGTCCCGATTAGATACAGACGCGTTCCTTGTGCAAAACCCGGTGGTGTCAAGTTTGAAATCAAAGGAAACCCTAATTTCCTAACGATATTTCCGTTAATGTAGGAGGAGCCGGAGATAATAAAGCCATGCAGATTAAGGGAAGCAGGACCGGGTGGATAACAATGATCAAGAATTGGGGACAAAACTGGACCACTGGTATTTTGTTGACCGGTCAGGGTTTATCATTTAGGGTTATGACGAGTGATGGGATTACAAAGGATTTTACTTATGTGATTCCACCAAATTGGGGATTTGGCCAGACTTTTGATGGAAAGATTAACTTTTAAAAGGATTTGAGTTCTTTTACTTGTTAGCTAAGAAGGCATATACAATTTAAATGAATTAACAGATGTATTGGGTGCAATAATTAAAATAAATGAGATATGGTTTTTATTTGTTTGTCAAGAGATATGGTTTATTATATTTCTTTAATTCATGCATTTAATTTCAACTTAAAACTACAGATTTAACCACAACTATAGAGGTGTGTGCAATCCTAAACTAACACTTTGATTTCTCGCAAACAATGTTACTTAAAATCGCCAAGTACAAAGTCGGGGTTTTCTGGTTAGATATAAACATATTCGTTAAGTTTGTCATCAAGGAAACCCTTATTTTCTAATGATCTTACCTTACAATATACATAGGAGAAGCTGGAGATGTTAAGGCCACATTGGTTAAAGGAACGAAGTCCAAACGGATAATGATGAAGAAGAGTTTGGGACAGATTTCGACCACTGGTGTTATGTTGACCGGACAGTGTATATCGACTTATCTTTAAGGGTCACCAAAAGTGATGGAAATCTTAACGTATAGGAAAATGATGAATTTCAGGAAGCTTTTGGCAAAACTTTGTTCCATAAGATACTATCAGGAAGCTCTTTAGTTGACAGATCATCTGTGCTTTTCCAGGAGGATCTTAAGACTATGTTGAGGTTCATTTTTTTTGACACAATGATCCGTTTATACTTGTAGACGAAAACGTATGTTTAGAACGTAGGAAGAAACGAAAAAAAAAAAGAATATGAAGAATGTGTAAGAATGGTTATAGTGAGGTATTGTGGATGTGAGAATCGTGTTTGTGATTTTGAAGAGAAAAAAATTGGGGCTAAACTATCTTTAGTAACTTGTAATCAAAGTTATAAGACCAAGTGAAATAGTGCTTGTATTATTCGTTATTTCACTGAAATACAATATATATTTTCATGCATTATTTTCGAAGAAAAATATCCGTTTTCATGGTGACCTCTATGTCCGATTTTATAGCCTGTTGTCTCCTTTTCATATGCATTCATGGTCACTATATTTGATTAAATATCACATATTAAAATGGACCATCAACCATTTGACAATTAATCATTTGCTCATGCACAAGCTAAACATAGGGATCTTCTTGGATTTTATGAGATACGGGTTTAGGATTAATGGATATGTGCGAGATACGATACCAACATATACCATTCGTACTTTTCATTTTTGTTCTTCTATCTTACCAGTGAATACTGCTAACATTTTTAATTGGATATGACAGTAAATTAGAAGTCAATAAGAACATGAGACTTCACTCACTCCAAATTTCATGACTTTTTTCACTACCTATTAAGATAGTACCATTAATTCAAAATAGACAAATGGCAATATTATCACTTCGGATGCAGATTTGACTACATAAACTTCAATACAATTATTAATTTATTATGTTCACTTAGTAGATATATGAACATTTGGAAAGATTTTAAAAGATATTACAACAAACAAGTAAAAAAGAAATGGTACTGTCACTCCACATTTCATGATTTTTAACAATCTATAAACATCAGGTTTGCCAAAAAAAAAAAAAAAAAACAATCTATAAACATCTTACCATTATATTCAAAATACAAAGATGGGCAATGTTATCACTTCTCAGGGTGCAGATTGACTACACCAATAATTTGGAAAGAATTTCAAAGATATTACAATAGTCAAATCTATTTCTACCTATATATACCCACCCATATTGTTCATTTATTCCCATCAATTAAAGCTAAAGTAAAAACAATATCATTAAAGAGGTATAATAATCATGAAATTGCTAGAAAAAATGACATATGTAGAATGTTTTATGATAATAATGGCGACTTGGTTCATGTTCATAAGTTATGGTCATGGAGCCGATGTAGCCGAACCACCCATGATTGATGATGTAGCCGCTTCACCTGGAACCAACGGACTCGATACTGCTTGGTATGATGCACGAGCCACATATTATGGTGATATCCATGGTATAGGCACTGAACGTAAGTTAAAATACTAATATTTGTCGAATCTAATTATTACATTGATGTTTTGTTTCGATATATATAGGCTGGGAATGTTTTCAATATAAAGAAACAATCAAAAGTTTACATACTAACGTTTTATTATAATACATTCAATAGAGGGAGCTTGTGGATACGGTGATCCAAACAAACATGGATATGGTCTAGCCACAGCGGCATTGAGCACGGCGCTATTCAACAACGGGGCCACATGTGGGGCTTGTTACGAGATCATGTGCGCTCCTAATCCACAAGGGTGTTTGTCTGGATCCATCAAGATCACAGCAACAAATTTATGTCCACCAGATTCCACTTGGTGCAACCTACCAAATAAACACTTTGATCTCTCCTTACCAATGTTCATCAAGATCGCCCAGGTCAAAGCCGGGATCGTCCCGATTAGATATAGACGTGTTCCTTGTGCAAAAACCGGTGGTGTCAAGTTTGAAGTTAAAGGAAACCCTAGTTTCCTAACGATCTTACCGTACAATGTAGGAGGAGCCGGAGATATTAAAGCCGTGTATGTTAAGGGAAGCAAAACCGGGTGGATAGCAATGAGCAGAAACTGGGGACAAAACTGGACCACTAATGTTAATCTAGCCGGTCAGAGTGTATCATTGAGGGTTACAACGAGTGATGAGGTTACAAAAGATTTTACTGATGTGATGCCACAAAGTTGGGGATTTGGGCAGACTTTTGATGGAAAGACTAACTTTTAAGAAAAATGAAATGAATTTTTTTAGTTTTGGCCTACAAGTTATTACTAAAGAGAGATGTATTGGTTGCAATAATTAAAAATAAATGAAATATTGTTTATGATATTTATTTTAGTTCCTGCATTTAGTTTCAAACTAAAGATTTAACCTGGACTAGAGATGGGCAAGGAAACCTAAATGAACTGAACCAAGCCAAAACAATTAAACCATATTGAACCGAAATTGTTTATAAAATTTTTAGTTCTATTATGTTAACCAAATATACCAAAATGTATTAAATATTATTTATAAATTATATTTGTTTTGAAAAATAGATATGACCATATTAAATAATAAATAAACACTGTTTAATTCTTTTCTAAGTTGAACCGTACCAAATCGAAATTGCATCAAACCGATCTGAAACCAAACCGAACTACAAATGGTTTTACATGGTATCACTTTTTACCAAACCTAACTAAAAATGTAAAAAGAAAAGAAAAAATCGAACCAAATCCAAACCCTAAACCGGATTGCCTACCGCTAACCAAACCCACAAGAGAACCTAGCAAAAATGTTTATTCAGTTTTGTCTTTTGACATTGGCATTTTATCTAGTTTGGTTGAAAATTTTCAGATTTTTATTTCCAATGTTCGGTTAGAACACAAAATTCGAATTACAACAAATGATCAAACAAAAGCTAAATAATATAAGAGAGAAAGATATCAAACTCGTATAAAAGAAAATTAACATATGTTGTGGAAAGATTAGTACTGGAGCAAAGATGTTTTATGTATACAGAGTTCCAAACCTGAGAGAGAGCTATAAAACCTGATTAGAGTCTTAAGCTTGTTTTCACTTCCAATCAAGCATATCTAGAAGCCACAAAACCTCCTCTTTAGTGTCAGCAACATCATTGAAATCCAACTGAATCCCGAAAACGTCGAGTAGCCCATCATTCATATCCTCAACATCCATAAAAAGCAAAGAGATCCATGCTCGGATACCGGTAATAAAAGGATAACAAGGAGACAAGTCAAGATACTCAAAGGCAAGCGCTCTGTACGATGAACGGTCAATATAATCAAAGACAGCCCGGTTGATTATCCGAGCAACCTTATTCGAATCATTCCGTGCCACAAGAACAGAGACACTAACCGACTGATTTAACGGAATAGTAAACCTAGGCTCAGCAGGAACAACCATCTTATAATCAGGTCTACCAAGGTGAGTTCTAAGAACATTACTGATCCCTAACGGTAACGTTTTGATCCCCTTTTCCAACGCAACACCGAGTATTAACCCCGAGAAAACCAGTTTCTCCTCTGACCAAATATCGATAAAGAACTCCAAGTTTTCAAACGACAATCTCGGAGGAGGAAGCGCGCGGTTTAACCGCCGCTTACTAAACATTTGATACATCTTGTAATATGTTTCAGTAGGAGGTTTATGCCTTTTGCAAACCGATGGCCATTTCTTTGCACATTGACATTTCCAATAGAAATCGTCAATAGCGATATCTCTCCACTGTCTACATACACCCATACATGCCGCGAGATCTTCGCCTTCTAGCAATGGAAACACATTCTTCAATACTTCTTCACTAAACATCTATTGAAATCAAAATTGAAACAACAACAACAACAAATCAATTTCATTAACCGAAACATCGAACAGTTACGAATCTAAACCGAAATTGATCAAATCCAACGGTTTTAACAGAATTCTACAAAGAAAATTCGGAAGATCGAAACAGAACATGAATCATCATCATCATCGTGAAAACAAATCAGAACGATGAAGATTATATAGATCAACGATAGGTGAAATGAACTAACCTTTTTCACATGATCTGGAGTTTGGAATCTGGATCGAATTAAGTAAGATTTCAGAAGAAGATTGAAGAAATTTTCATTTTTCCTGGGAAATTAGGGGAAAGAATATTCGGTAGGCTGGGAAGAGAAACATTAGGAAAATTAAAGAATTAATTTAATAAAATGAAATAAAGAATTAAATTAGTAATAGAAACAGGCCTTAGCCCAATTACAGCTTAGCCCATAGAGGAGTCCAAGAAAATAATTTAGGCACTCAACAAAAAGAGAGTGATAGTTGTAGATTTAAGAAAGAAACTATAATACTTGTAGTTGACTTTGCCAAAATAAAGCTTTGCTTCATCAAAAGTGGATGAATATCTAATGAAAAATCCATGATCATAAATAGTATTCAAAGCTTAGCTTTGTTTCTTTGATTTGAATAAGAAGAAAAATACCATCAGAAAAACCAACAATTTCGATGTTAATCTTATTATGGACCATCCGCAACCGAATCTCTCTTCTTCGAAACTCGGACAATCAAAGATATGAAGATCTTCTTATATCTTGGTTTTCAACTCGGTCTTAAGTGTATTTTTAGAAGTCCAAAAACTTTAAATTCTTTACTTTACTTTTAGAAATGTCACACTTGATGTAAACACGATTTTTTGGTGAATAAATTTTACATTCATTCATTCAAAAAAAAAAAAATCTTTCTATGGTAAAGTGATATTTTATTAATATCTTGTACGATTTTATTAAAAACCACTTTTTTGTCTTTTTAAAGGCTACAAACCATAAGAAAAAAATGGACCACATTTTTTTATTTATTTAATAATTGTGTTGTTACAAAAAAAAAAAAAAAAAAAAAACAATTGTTTATGCCATTTTCAAGGTTCGAATTCATGTACAGTTGCCATAATTAACTACTGAAAATTTTAATTACTAGATCAAAAGAACGTTTTTACGTGATATTATTATTATCACTTTATCAGCCAAAAGCCTATACTCTGCATGCTTGGCCTTATATGGCCGACTTTGTTAGACTACACGAGAGAAGCATAATAGAAAATACCAAATTATCTAGGTCAGGGAGGGAGAAGTAGAGAATTGAATGAAGCCAAACGAAATGGAGAATTAGGAAGTGGCCGAGCGTGTTGTTGTAAGATGATGGTCGAACATAAGTATAGTGTTGATCTAGAAAAGCTAATTGATTAAATTACCGGACTGGGCCTTTTTCCAGACAAACTTACGGAATCCGGTACGATTGCCGGGACTTTCGTTTTAGGCATTTATTTGGCTGTGTAATGACGGATTTGTCATTCAAATGCTGAGGAGAAATTTCAGGCATATGATTAATTGTTTTCCATTTTTCTTTCTCACAGAAGACAATCTCATGTCTCTCTCTCTCGCATTACGCGTAGCCTCTCTTATCTCTCTCTCCCCTCACCCAAAGTCAATTTTCCTTTTACATAAACAAAATCAAACGAAAATCCGAGTTTTCTTCACTAACCAAAATCTCACAGGAAGATCTAAACGACTGAAACGAAAACCCTAATTTTGACAATCCTCGTTGTCGTTCTCTCCCTTAGATTCTTGATCGGAAAACTCAAGCGAAAGCCAAATCTACCTCCAAATTCGGCATGGTCGTTACCGGTGATGCGTCACCGCTCCCTTCTCAAGTCGTCGATCCATCTACAATGTTACGTATCATGTCTCCCTAATTCGAAGGTAACAAAAATCCCTAATTTTTTCCAATTTTTCCATTTTATGCTCCTTGATTCTATCTATCGAGGTTTTGATGTGTCTATTATGGCGGAGATCTGACCCAGCCATGTCACTGCCCACTTCGACGACGGTGAAATCGATCCACAAATCTCGTTTTTTTTTTTTCCTCACAAACTCTGGCTCTCAGGTGATGTTCGGGCGTTTTTTTTCTCGTAGATTATCTGTTGTTCTCTCTGGTTACACTGAAGTGATTATTTCATGTGACTAGGTGAAACTTTGTTGTTAAGAGAATTGGGTTATTTGTTGAGAGGAGTTGGTTCTGAAATTTTTTGGATCACAAATAGGTTCTAGTTAAAGAAGATGAAGTGATCAAGGTTTTAGAACACAAGATGTTGACCATATTGTTCGTGAGAGTTAGTTGGTTGATAGTTTTCTGGATATATAAAGTGATCATCATTTTGTTAGGGAGTGGATATGTTAGCCTTCGTAGATAAAGTTTTGCTATGTTACTTACTTAATACATATATTTTTCTATATTGTGGAGATGCTTAGTTTCTAGATATAGTGTTGTTATATTGTATATATTGTTCAAGCTTGAAGATGATGATCTAATTTCAGGCTTGAATTTTGCCTTTCAAACGAGACTTCCTTTTACTGTTATGAGTATTTCATTGAGAATTTGTGTTCGTTCCGACATTAGTTTTTCTCTTCAAATCAATTGTCATTAATTACTGTCTTAGTAAATGTGCGTTTCATTTTGTGTTTGGGTTCCCTTAGTTGTAGACTTGTAGTTCCTTAGGGTTTAGTATTCCTAATTAAGAGTGTGTTTCATTTTGTGTTTGGGTTCCCTCAGTTGTAGTTCCTTAGGGTTTAGTATTCCTAATTAAGAGTGCGTTTCATTTTGTGTTTGGGTTCCCTCAGCTGCATTTCCTTAGGGTTTAGTATTCCTAATTAAGAGTGCGTTTCATTTTGTGTTTGGGTTCCCTCAGCTTCATTTCCTTAGGGTTTAGTATTCCTAATTAAGAGTGCGTTTCATTTTGTGTTTGGGTTCCCTCAGTTGTAGTTCCTTAGGGTTTAGTATTCCTAGTTAAGAGTGCGTTTCATTTTGTGTTTGGGTTCCCTCAGTTGTAGTTCCTTAGGGTTTAGTATTCCTAGTTAAGAGTGTGTTTAATTTGTTACTTGGGTTCCTCCGGTAATAGTCCTTAGGGTTTAGTTTTCTTAATACATCTGTTTCATTTGGTCATTGGGTTTCCTTAGTTACAATCCTTAGGGTATGTATAGTTCCCTTAATACATTTGTTGTCCTCTTTCATGTTTGCTCGATGGTAAGTATGATGATCTTTCTGAACAATTGTGTTACATGGTTTGTGGCATCGTCGAGATGGTTGCAAATGAAGAGAAGATCTCGAACAAGTCAGCAGCTTAAGTGACGAGATGGTTGCAAAGGCAGAGAAGATATCAAAGGAGTAAGCAGCTTATAGGACTAATTCATCTTTTTCATGTATAGAATTGTTATATTGTTGTCTTCTGAGATTGAACATTTCATTCATTATTTGCAAGATTCTGTATAGAAGCAGAGTTACTTACTAAGAAGAATTGTTGTTTTTGTTATTTTGGTTTGTAAATGTCACAAACACAAAGATGGACTAGATTTCTACCCGTTTCTTTTACAATTTTATAAGTCATGACTCATGCGTCAAAATTAGAACAAGAAACGTAGCAGAAGCTCTAAGCATGGCAAG